ACCTTAAACTATAAACTACAAAGTAAGGAAGTAAAGTACTGTTGAATATGGAAAAACCTACTAAAGCACCACAACGCTCCCCGAACATGACGAGAGTGGTATACGGTAGGCGGGTAGTAGATGCCGATCGGAAATGTGATCAGGAAAGCGCCGAGCGAGAAGAAGAGCTGCGCGTAATAGCCTAAAGCACTCTATAGACCTTAAGGTTTTTTCAAGCCTACCATCTCCCATCGGATGTCTTCTCATTGGGACGAAGACGCTACCAAACAAGATGGAAGCCAACAGGCAGCATAAGAACCCGTCCCACATCTTCTACTACTAAAGGTAGGGAAATTTCATAGAAATTGTTTATAGGGGACGTTAAGAAGAGCGATAGAGAAAGAGAGAGAGCGAGAGAGAGAGAGAGAGAGAGAGAGAGAGAGAGAGGGGGGAAGAGAGAGAACTATAGAAAAAGGGAAATAGAGAGAGAAAGAGTAAAATACCGAGAGGTCCTTTTGCTACCGGAAAGCAAGGCCAGCTTCCAAATCGAAATTTTTTCACGGTATTTGGGCATTAAGAAAATGATGCTACCGTTTTCTGGCCTGGACTTTAAAATAGCGGTTCCCGTGAAAATAAATAGAGAAAATGTGTAAAAACTCCGCCAGGTCGTCTGCCTTTATGCCAAAGTCAAATTCGGTACACCCAAACGGAGCGCGCTCTATTTTTTGGGGTTATAAGGTCCGGCTGGACCCTGTGACCGCTGCAAGGCAAAAGCCTACACCAACCCCCAACTTTTTGCGGAACATCATGCCAGATTATGCAAAAATAAGACCCCTCCACCGGGTCAACGAATCGCGCGTCTATTGCTGCCCGGTTAGACAAGCCGTCCATTGTTGGGGGGTTTACTATTAAAAATCGTCTGGGATTGCTTTTGGGTTGTTTTCAGAGTACAGATATACCGGGAACCAATCCGGACTGGTTTGTTAAATTGGGTGGGCGGTGGGAGACGTAGGCGTGAAAGGTAGGATAGTGCGATGTGTCGAAAATAATACGCCAAAATTGGAAAATCTGCCCATTCAGTTGGAAGCTAGCTGTGATAGTAGACGTGAAAGTCTAGCCTTTGCATTTATCGTGAAAAAACTTTTGAACCAGTGGCTTATTTAACAAGCATGAATTTTATTTTATTAATAATTTAGATAGTTTCGCAGATAATTTAGCATTTCTGAATTTTTGAGCTCCGAAAAGAAGTTGGAAAGGGAGGCTAAAACGTTGGGGAAGCCTTGGGCGGGCTTTTAAAGGGACCGGCAAGGCCCCGCTCTAAATTTTTATGCACTTGAATTTCAATTCCGAGCCTAATCGAGCTCGCAAAAGAACGGCCGATGCCAGCGTAAAGCAACGTCTTCCTTCAAAGGCCTTGAAAATGATGAAAAATCAATTCCAGCCGTTAAGACAGCTTAGGAGTTCAAGTGAGCACCAAAAATAATTGAATATTTTAGAGTATATCACGATTGGGTTCGTATATTTTTGATGATGGAAGAGTACGGCGAAATTTATCTCGCAAAACGTCGAAAAAAACCATCAGAAAGATTCGACACAAACTGGTCAAGAAAATCTGTGAAAATTTCCACATTTAATGCAGTCGGGGAGGGGTACTGAGGACAATAATGTACGCGGTAAAATGAGAATAGTTTGAGCTGCTGCCGGTTCGTCCGGTCCATCAACACGGCCAGGGCACGGCGCGTGTTCTTCTTTTTCTTATTTTCTATTCTTTGCATACCCTTTTGCCCCGGTGGTCCAGATAATAGGTTGAAGGGGGGAGAGGGGTAGGAGTAGATATAGAAAACTAGTTTGTGCCGCCCGGTCAACCACAATTTTTCGCCCTTAAAAAATAAATAGGGTGAAAAGTAAATAAGGGCATCGTTATCATGGGGGTCCGCCTCCCCAAAATCTCTCAGCCGCCTGGTTGTTGTCCTTTGGGGGAATTTTGATACATATTGATGAAACCGGTAAACAGCCGCCGGCCACAAAATCAAAGGCTAATATGATGGGGGGAGGTGGCTATATTTAGCTCGATAAGCTGCTGTGGAATTTGAAAAATGTGTTGTTGCAGTAATCGGGTACGGTTTTGACGGTTTTCTTACGAGTCTTACCGGTAATAACTTTGTACTTCTGTATCGCCTCGCATACCACAGATTTTAAAATTTTGTCCTACTGTGATTTCGATATTTTCCCCATACTTTAAACCATGTTTTTAAAGTGCTATCATTGTTATTTTTTAAACGAAACAGCTTCAGAGAAAATCTTAGTTTTTTTAAAGAAAGCCCCGAAAAAGCATACTGTAGATAACTTGAGACCTGCATTTGGGGCGGATTATGTTAATTTTGAGTATTTTCCTTTATCTATTACTAATTCGTGTAATCCTATTCATTAGCAGGCCACTTTCTTCATATACAATTTTACATAGTTTTTACAAAATCACGTAAAAACGTTTAATCTTTCAATAAAGTTTCAAAAAAATTATTAAATCGTCAGATTCATCCAGAGAATATTCCTAGCATTTTATGTATATTTTGTTTTATACGCGTTATTGCGGTGTTTGTGTCATGTGATAACGACTAGGTCAAACGTATTTATTAAAACATGCAAATGGGCATCTTAAAACTTGTCCCATTCTTCACCCGTGTTGTCTGAAGAAATTGTGGCTGCCGCTAACCGCCTTTTCCGTTTGAATCGGAGCTCGCCGTATTGGAATGAAATGACGGAGACGACGGTCCCAACTAACAATATCGATAGTTGGGTTTGGATCGTGAATTTGCCGCCGTAGAAAAGGCACACGGCGCCGAGCAGGGACTGAAACCGTACAGGGTGTCCCAAAAAAAATCCCCCCCCCCCTAGCCGGCCGCAGACATGTCCGATTTTTACGATTTAGGTATCTATCGTAAGCTCTCGGAAAGGCGAGTCCAGCACGTCTTGCGGATTTGCGAAGTGTCGGAATTTTTTGCTCGATTTTTGGCATTTTTCATGCCAAAAGGACAGACTTTTTTGTTCAAAGCGCAGTATAACCGGTCTAAGAGCTGTCCAAGCTGTGATTTGGCAAACGGCTTTCAAAAAAACTGTCGCTGGGTTGCCAGGAAAGGCGTAAAAATTCTCAAATTGCGATTTTTGCAAAAAACATCCTGGTCAGAACAACATCAGAAAATCCGCCCATTTGGCAAAAACATTAGTAAATGATAGAAAAATTTCAAAGCTTTGAGAATCCAAAAGACGTGCTGGACTCGCCTTTCCGAGAGCTTTCGATAGATACCGAAATCGTAAAAATCCGACAGGTCTGCGGCCGGCTGGGGGGATTTTTTTTTGGGACACCCTGTATAGGAAAATTAAATTGCATTAAATCTTGGTAGCTAGATAAATAAAAAGACAAAACAGTAAATTAGGGTGCTGAATGGAAAAAGTGGCGTAAAGATTCTTCCAAAACCCGAGGATCGACACAAAAAAAAATACCTTTTAGGCTATAAAATTTGCATAAAATTCCACTTCCTAATGCATACGTCATATGATTAAAAATCGACAAAATCCGAGTAATTCCCGACAAACTTTGTATATAGTTATCATTATTACGTAGATAGTAACCAAACCTACGTGGAAAAACTTCGAAAGCGCATAGGCCTGCTTGGTCTGTCCTTCATATTGCACGGCAATATACGCATATATCATCGAATTAATGCAGTTATCAAAAAAGCCCATGATGAACCCGCAAATTAGCGCAATTGGCACACTAAAAAGTGGTTATTTTTGAAGATCCTTACGTGAGGTTACTACTTACTTTGGATGGAACGTAGAGACCTCATAGGTCTTATCAATTGAAGCCGGACCAGGTATATTTAGCCATACGAGAATATAAGCAATTATACTAAAATGGACTTGAAATAAGGCATTTTGAGAAAATTATGATGTTTTTAGTAAAAGGCTCGTTTTTCACGATTTTCCACTTACCTTAAAATAGTCCCAAACCACATAAAAGGAGATCTGCCGATTTTAGCACCCTTTCGGCCAAAAACACCGAAAATAAGACCACCTATAAGGTTTAATCACTAAGTTTTAAGGTGTAAAATGCGTACCCAGTAATTCACCACATCCTACGGCTATACAATTTAACGCAATCAGTACATTTGTGTTGATTTGACTATGGAATTGCTTCGTAAACGAGAGGGAGGTAGGGTAGACGCCGGACCTGAAAGAGATAGACTGAAAAATGATCGCTAATGAGCGAAATACGCTTCTTAGGGTTGCCCCATTCTTGCCTTTTCCCTATTTTGAAATGCTTATATACCTGTGAATTCAATTTTTGTGATTTAATAGTTTTAATAATTTTAATATAGACTTATTGATTTATTTTACTATCAGGGCTCACAAAAAAAGTAAAATCTATAAAAGAAACGAATTCTAAGCCAGGCTTACCAAAACGATAGCTCAATGCCAGTAAACGCCGATGGAATAGCAATAAGTAGAAAATCAAATGTAATGACGAGACGAGCGGATTTATCTGGAAAATTCATTAATTTTTATTAACAAGCTTAGCTTACACAACTCTTCCGCCACCTCTCCCCAGTGATTTTTTTCCCCATCGGCTTCAAGCTTCTTCTCATCGCTTGGATTTGTCGGGGGATTTGGTAGCACTAAGAGAATAATGGCTCCAAGTAGTGAAACCCCAGTAAAAACACCGTAGAGGACGTACTGTGTAGATTCTGTTAAAAACGATATTAAAAAAATGTTAATGGTCGTACCTGTAATTTCTCGATCATCTTTCCCTCCAAACATTGCGAGGAGGAACCCGCCTCCCCAGAGGGTTCTGAAAAAAGAATATAGAGTAGAAATGGGCGCCAGGTCGCGAAATGGCCCGTTACCTAATTCGATTACGCTCCGATATAAGAACATACTTACCCCGACATAATTATCATGTACATCATGCTACTATTTCTGCCAACCGTCTTTTCATCGGAATTCATCGCCATGTATTGACCGACGGCCGTCCACATGACTAAAAGCCATTTTTATGAATATCGAAATATTGATAGCTTTCATTGTTAATTCCTAGTAATAGGTTTCAAAATTTTCTTAATTCTTGGGTACAATTCAAATAGGCGGGGGGGGGGAGGTGGGCCTATAGGCAGAGGGGGTGCCTAGAGAGTACGGCGGGCGCAGAGACGCAGATTGCCCCCCGCCTAACTCCCCCCGGCTATTTGAAGAGTACCAATTCTTGATATACAGGGTGTCCCAAAAAAACCCCCTACCTAGCGGTCCGCATTCAAGTCCGATCTTTATGATTTAGCTACCTATCGATCACGCCATTCCAGGCTTTAACAGGCAGGCACGGATAGCTTTTGGGCTACGGCAGGTTCCCTTGCACAAGGGGACAGCGCGCTCGCTACGTTTTTGTTCGAAAATGAACAAATTTTTGGACAAAACTGGATTTTTCTCGAAATTTTAATAGAAAAATTAGAAACTCAATTAGATTTAAATATTCTAGACGCCAAGGCGCAGATTTTGAGACCTAACTATCGAAAATCTATTCTGGTACTTTTTTGTGATGGCCTTTTGAAGTTCAGTTCAGGATTTTGTGCGGTTTTAAATAGCGCAGAAACCAAGCATTGTCGCTGAAATCTGAGCCTAGATTTGGTAAAATTAAGGTCGATTAGCCCCCACTGCGTGAAATCGACGCTTAAAATGGCTCCAAGTGACTGTTTTGCGAAAATGTGCGCCAGTGGATCAACCGTCTCTTTTTGATCGGGTTAATTTTTCCAGATCCTTATTGTTTTAGCAGTTTTCAATGGCTGGAGCGCAGTTTTTAAGCAAAACGCAAAAGCTTGGCAAAGGTTTTGGGGAGAAATAGCGGTTGCACGTTGGTACCGGGGGTCGAACCCGGACCCTTTGTTCGAGCTTTGGGATCGGCGCTAACCGATTGCGCCGCGGCCCCGGGGGGTCCTATCCATGCCTCCGTGGAACGCCGTGCGGTAGCTCTCAAAAAGGCGAGAAAACAAGCGGGTTTCGTTTTCTAATATTTAATCAAATTCCATCGATATTTAACGTTTTTTTTCTAAAAACTGTTACTTGTTCAACAAGAATTTCGCAATTAGCATGCAGATCCTGCAGAAATTAGCAGTTCTCATGGTTTTTGGACGTATAATTTGCGAATAAAAATGCATATTAAAGAACATGAACCCTCTTTGTTTTCTCGCCTTTTCGAGAGCTTTCGATAGATACCTAAATCGTAAAAAACCGGAATCGACTGCGGACCGTTAGGTAGGGTTTTTTTTTGAGACACCCTGTAGATACACAAGTTCAGACCGAGAAATACTTACGTCCTGCCACCAAACCATCAGCTATTGCTCCACCATACAAATACCATTCTGTCAAGTGGAAAAATGCCGACATATACACGGCATACATAAACCCGCCGAGAAACAGGGAAATTCGGAGGCCTGAAAAAAAAAGCAGAAAACGGTAATTGAAACAGCGTTAATGATTTACCTATCACATGGACGATAGGTGGGGCCACAACATTAGAAATTAACGAAGATGCGTAGACCATGCATGCTCTAAAATAGTTTGGTAAGCTTTTAAAAAGCGTAAAAGTCCTAAAATGGCAATGAGCAACGGTCTTAATGATTTTGGATTCAGATTTTGATCGTACAAAAACCCACTCGGACTTGGCTTCATCGGTCCTTTTATCCGGTAAAAAGTGTAAATTATTGAAAATTTATTTTCGTACCATGATTTTATGCTTATTCATAGCTGATCTTTGACCAGATGCCCATGTCGTTACAGGTCACTTTTATCAGAACCCACGCGGTCCGGCTATCGCTTTCGGGTTTTCGGAAAATCACAAAAAATCTGCCCCTCGGCAACAATTTGACAGTTTCCATGCGTGTGGTAAACAGGGCAAAACACAAAAATCCAAAGGTAAAACCTCACGCGTAGTATCCAGCATGTTTGCTAATGTTTCCGCCGTCTTTATTTCGATTCTCGGTTACCTGAAAATTGTTTTAATCTGCAGAATAATAGCTTTCATCTGTTATCATTTGATTTATTTATATTTTTATGGTTCAGCACTAGTATTTCTAATCATTTTCTAGGTAGAAAATTGGGAATTAAGTGTTTTTTTATAATTTTTACCTTAGACAGTTTGGAATGCCAAATTTCTTACAAAAAGGATCCAGAAAACGTTTTGAAAGTTGATAACTTTTTTGCTTTTTTTTGGCCCGGCCGTATGTATAAAGTGACCCACAGTTTCTGCGATAAATGAATGGCACATCGAGGCTATAAAAGTACACATCATGCCGAGGGCCATCTGGATGATATTCCATGTTTTCAGGCTAATGATGGCCATCGCGAACTCTACAAAAATGCTTTCCAAATATAAAAATACGTAGCTAATTGTATACATTTTAGAATCAAAAATTATAACAATAACAAGTGTTAAATAACGTCGGAAACCAATTCGACGATACGATACTTTAATAAAATTTTCTGAAAATAATGGGCGAAATCAGAACGTCAGAAACCAATAAAACCAGGTATGCAACGCCATATCTAGACATCGAGAACCGGCGCCAGTAAAATTCGTTTTAACACCGGCTGTTCTTTGGTAGGCAAGAAACGGTGGCAAAGAAGCTGCCCGAGCGGCGGGTGGCATGGGGGCTTATCTGGTAACGCGAGGTCGGGTGCCTTTCCGAAACAATGATAGCTAGACGGGGTGTCGATCGCAAAAAGGCGAAATGCGGAAGAATATTTTTAGGTTGGTGAAGATTTCGGTGAACCGTACTTTTGAATATTGCTATGGAAACTGTGAAAAATTTGATAGATGCCTCTAGCTAAGCCGTCATGTAGTTTGGTGTATTTCGTCCGGCAATTAATTTTTTACAAAATTTTTTGAGCGATTTTATGGCATAAAAATTGATTTTGCAGAATTTATCGGGTTTCATCGTGGGTTCTCTCCTCGTCAGACGCTTTTCAAATAGAGTCCGAATTCATCATCCTGATTTTTGAAACATTTTTTAGGGAATAAAAATTTCTTAAGGACTTTGAAGTGATCTCATTAATTGTTTCATATTCCAGACATGTGTCGCTAGTAAGTTTGTACTGGTTGGCATTCGGAATGTAGATAAGAGAACGCATGCCCTTTAGGCACGCTGATTCACTCATCTGAAATCGACTCTATTTATCCAGAAGGTTGCCAAAAAATCTCTACTATTAACTTGTAAATACCAAAAAATACTAGAAGCTAGCTTTTATTTTAAATACAAAGATTATTTGAGAATTTAAATTATTAGATCAAAAACAAGAATAACCGCAACGTTAATTGTTTGGGTCCTGGTGCGACTTGAATAAAATTGAGCCCTCCGCGTTCTCAGATTTTTCTAATTCCAATTTTTAGATTACATTCTCGAACCTGCCTGGCGGCTGAATGCCTAATTTCCGAGGCTGAACAATTACGGGCGTGGGGGGAGAGGCATGAGGGCTGTCGCCGACCAGGGCCCATTATCCCTTTCCTTACCAATTTCTGCCAACCCTCATGGCTTACCCCGGGGCATTTGGTCGTTATGACCCGGCAGGGCTTCATGAGTTTCCGTTTTGCGCCTGTAGACAAGGCTAATTTGGGTTCATCTATTCGGATTTCTTCTTGGCACTCTTGAAGTCGGTTAGTATTAGGGATACCCAACCCTGTGCTCGCTAAGCCTACCCTGAGCCAAGACTTAAGCTTAGGCTAAGTCAAGCCTAAGCAAAGCCTAAGCTAAGCCTAAGCTAAGCCTAAGCTAAGCCTGAGCTAAGCCTAAGCTAAGCCTAAGCTAAGCCTAAGCTAAGCCTAAGCTAAGCCTAAGCTAAGCCTAAGCTAAGCCTAAGCTAAGCCTAAGCTAAGCCTAAGCTAAGCCTAAGCTGAGCCTAAGCCAAGCCTAAGCCAAGCCTAAACCAAGCCTAAACCAAGCCTAAACCAAGCCTAAGCCAAGCCTAAACCAAGCCTAAACCAAGCCTAAACCAAGCCTAAGCCAAGCCTAAACCAAGCCTAAGCCAAGCCTAAACCAAGCCTAAGCCAAGCTTAAGCTAAGCCAAGCTAAGCCTAAGCTAAGCCTAGGCTAAAAAGCTTGTAAGCCATGTCGCTTGTCCGAAATTCATAAGCTACATCAAAGCCTGCCCCGCCTCCCCCAGCAACTACCCGCAAGTTCAGTTATTCAATGCGTGCCACCTGGCCCCTAACATACCCCCAGGGTACGCACCGTGCCTTTATTCGCTCACCAGTATTGATCACCTAATGACACACCATGGCGTCGCGCTCAATATGTCAGGCGAGTCAAGAATTTAGCCTCGGCTTTCCGATATTTTCCTAGCTTTTGAGTGACGCTCTTGAGGTCCAGGTTAGGGTTGTTTTACGATCGTAAAGGGCGGGTTGTGGGTTTCGGATAGGCGCTTTTGAAGTAAATCTCCGTTCCTGTCACGGCAGTTTTCACTTGATAAAACGCCTAGAAATATTTTTTGTTAATTTTTAGAGGTTGTAACTTTTAAATTTCTGTTTTTACAAAACTTCGTGCCCTTTCCTAGCCCCTAGAAATTTCTGAAAAGACCGCTGGCTATTAAATTTCTTAGCCGGCTTTCATCCGCTGACCTACCCAACCCCTTCGATGTGGACTGAAAAAAATCGGTTTATTAATCCTGAATGATAATAGATCATAATTTTTATATTTTGTAGCTTCGCGGTTTTTTACGAGTACTCCGCAATTCCCGAAAGTATAGCCTCGCGACCGGAACATTCAGAAAAAGCTTTTTTGGTATGACTCACCTAGCCTTGCCTTACCCTACCCCCCTACTCACCACCTCGTCGATTCCGGCCGACAACCGGACACGCGATCTTCCATTATCCCGTCTTCCCGTCTGTCTGTCTGTCTGTGTGTCTGCTAGCTGAGCTGTCCCAGGGTGTGTGTCGTTCCACAATTTATGGGATGGCCTTTAATTATGGGTCCAGCGGCGGCACGCGGGCCTCGCCAAAGGCTCGACAGGAGGGTGGGTTAGGTACGGATTTTACCTTATTTACGAAATCCTAATCTTCAACGGAATTTTTTCTGCTTAGACTGTCGTAGATACCTCTTTTTTCACAGATTCAGTGTTTCTATGACTTTCCGACGGCTCCCTAGAAATTTAAAGCGACGGGCAAGGCCTCACTATTTGCTGAAACTGTGTCCCCCTATGGAACTTCTTAATGAACAAGAAAGGGGTATTGCGCAGCGTGCGCGTTGTGTGTCGCGGGCCCAGCCCATCCCAGCTGAATGGACAGCCGATAGAATTTTTATTCATGCTTTGTCTATGATTTTAAAGTTCCACCAAGCCGATTCAGTAGTCGGCTAGCTGTTCCAAGGATGTGGCTACCTGGAACAAACAAATTAGGCATACACCTGCTCGATCGGCTGGTCATGGAGTGGTGAAGACACTTTCCACCCCAGCCCTTCTACCCTTCTTTTTGCCGTCACCTTGCCCCTATACCGACACATTGTATCGTCTCGGATAGCCCAGGAGGAGACGACGCAAGGTGCAGTCTAGGATTTCACGCGTTGTGGCCGCACTTCCCACTAACACGGCACTCTCCTTACAGCCAACAAACCGCCGCTAGCGTCATTGTCTTGGAAATTAAATGTAGCCTTTCGGCTTGGATTCCGATGGTTTACAAATTACGTGTCTTGGTACATTCTTGTCATTTGGACGTATTTGTTCGTTTTCACCGGGACTACATAGCAAGGATTTTTTTCTCGTTGTTAATATCTCTCACTATCTTGCTTTTTCTCACACTATTTCACTGTCACTCACTATATCTCCTTTTCTCTCTTTCTCACTCACTCTCTTTCTCTCTCTTTCTCTCTGTCTCTCTCTCTCTCTGGTCCTTAGAGTATTATTTGTCCACGAGCAAATGGCGGCACCAAGGCCCCAATAATCCAGCTGTCAAAAATCGATTAACTATATTTTTAAAAAGTTACTTATATGTAAAAATTTATGTAAGGTAAAAAGATTACAAGCCAATTTTACCGCCCTTTGTTTGGCTTAGAACGGCCCCAAACGCCACAATGGCCTGACTTTGTTTATATTGAGGAGAGGCGAGTCTTCGACCCAATTAGCCCCCGTAGACTTCAACACAAAAACGTTCCAATTAGTCCTTTTCCTTCGCTTTCTCTTGTTCTCAACCACATCCAGGCTTGTTGAAGCAACCGTGAAATCGAACACCCGTCTTTGGAGCACCGGAAAGCGCTCCGCTAGTGTTCCGATTGGAGCGCAAAGTGGGCGCAGCGGCTCGGGTTTTTTGTGAGGTGTCGAAGGGTTTGTTGAGGTTTTCTTTGAGCTTGAAGCTGAATCTCACTTTACCATCGTCTATGGTCTTTTTTCCACATTAGAATTTACTAGTGCTTCTCGCTACAAATAAGAAACGCTTGCGCAAACTTGGGCCAAAAATATTTCGATGAAATAATAATAAAATTTGACATATTTCGATAGGTTCTTACGATATTTCGACCTTATTGCTCGATTTAGACGTTTTTTGCTTTACCGCCCCACCGCCCTGAAGCAACCCGTCCCGATTCACCACTCAATTTTCACTCTCATTCAGGAAATCCATCTTCTCCCCTTAGTTCCGCTTGGACTAACACAATTCGGGACTGTATTCTAGTTTTCAAAGATGCTTCACGACCTCGATGCTTCTATCCCAAGGACTTTCCAGAATCTCCCAATGTCGCCCGGTTGATCGATGGCTTCAGGGTTGAGCGGCATCGGGTTCGCATGGACGATGTTAAGCTGTATTGCGACTGCATTAATTATTGGTAAGTTGTATACTTTTAAGAGTAGGCTTAGAGGCGCGTCATAAATTAATTCTATATTTTAGTCGCCGTGCTCTCGCCAGAATGGTTGATCGGGAAGGTTGTAGTCGACAACCATCACATGCCCGCCTACTTTGGCGCCTACAAACGATGCAATTACGCCGTGTACGATCGGGTGAGTTGAGAGTAGGGGAGGGAAAAACGAGTCTCACCTCGAGGAGCATGAAAAATGCATGTACAAAATTTCTGCACGCAAAAAAGTAGAAATTAATCGACTTTATTTGATTTTGCAGGAATAATTTTATGCATAAAATCATGAAGAAAAATAAAGCTAGGATGACCTAACATTAATATATAATTACCTTTTATAATTGAAAATTTCCATGGTCAGGGTAGAACTCAAGATTCAGTAAAAGGAAAGTTAATTTAACGCTGCTAACATTTAAACGCTGCCGAAAAAATACAAGAAAATTAACAATAAAAATATATTAAAAATATTCATACATGTAGCTATTAAATCAGCAATATTTTCTCGTATTAAACCCGAATTCGCTCCAATATCCAACAACAGCCGGGGGTACTAATCTGCTCTCACTCGTATCGGGGAGGGGCCACCTCTGGGGACCGACCAGAGATAAGCCCCCTTCCCCTGCCCCATCCCCGTGACTCCTTGGCGCAATGGTAGCGCGTTCGACTCCAGATCGAAAGGTTGGGTGTTCGAGTCACTCAGGGGTCAAAATTTTTGCTTTTTGGGGAGAATGTGCGGATTACTATCAGAAACGACGTGGTAACTTTCTTTTTGCTGACTGATCTGTTTTAGCGATTTTACGGCACTTCAAAGGTAATTTTTAGACGACCAAGAAAGTGACTCTCGTGAAAGAATGCGGGATCTACGAGTCCTTCGCCGCGATGCCGTCCCTTTATTGGCAACTGGCAGCCGTGTCGGCGTTTTCTGGAGCGGCTCTTTCATTAATGCTAGGTAAGAAGCTCAAAATTTCGGCTTAGAACGTATTTTCCAGTTTTACTCCTGATTCCTTCAATGTGCCTTCGTGAAGTCGTCACTCACGGCACCGCGCCGGTTGTGGGATTTTTTCAAATTATCGCTGGTATGTAAGGCTCTGATATACCGTAAAACTAGAACAGTATAAACTAGAATCGATTACGCAATGAAAATTGCTCGGAGTCAATTTTTAGCAATCCTCCTCTCCACGGCCGGGGTTTTGTACCCTTTCGGTTGGGATAGTCAAGAAGTTCGAGATGCTTGCGGTGATCAGGCAGACAAATTTAATCCAGGTGTGATAACCACTACAAACTACAAAACAATACTTTTTGAGGGGCCTGCCAAGTCGGGAAAGCCTTCAAATCGATGTGTCTCGGTGCGGGGATGCTGGTGCTCTGCTGCTTATTGTCGTTTTGCGGTGGGAAGAAGCGGAAACGGAGATGGTAAGTTCTAAGGTAAAAAAAATTACCAATACGAAAAAACATGAATACAAAAATTCACGATTTAATCATTATGGTACGTTTTTTATTCAGGTCACTTGCCGTACGGCAAGACGAAGTGATACGCGGCTACGAACAGGCGTCTACTAAAGCATAATTTGTACATTTTTAATTTTCAAATTACCACATTTGAAAGCTGTACATAGGAATGAAGTTTCCTTCCGAATTTTCCCCAATTTATGGTGACCAACTGCTCAACTGTGATCTTTCACACTTTTCGCGATTTTTTTCTGTTTTTCTTTTCACGTGTGTTTGTCTTTAGAATGTCTGCACTTTTGATCCCGATAAACTTTTCCACTACCCTGATTGGTGACGAAAATAGCGGATCAAAAACAAATTTTCAAGAGACGCGTATATAATCAGGTGATACGACCGAAAACACAGAATAATCCTTATTTGACGGATAGGTTTTTATGTCTATGTAAATCTTAGAAATTTAAAATCAGGCCCGCGCTTTAAAATTTGACTTTATTGACGTTTGCTTAAACCTGCAACTTCAAAGAATGTAAGAAATTTTTATTGAAGCGCATTTCCAATAAAATTTATTGCTGCTGGTAAAAAATGTTGTTTTCAAGGCATTTAATGTATTTTTCGTCGTTTTTAAAGCATCGTCTATCCAAAATTTTCCAAAGATTGCTCTCCTTTGATATAGTTTCTTTTTAAAATGACGATTGATCGTTTTTCACCAGCTTTTCTACACTTTTCAATGGAGCCTCATGAAATTTTGGCGCCACGTGAGCCGAGCCCCCTCAAAAAGCAGTAAAAACTCTAAACGAAAAAGCGCGCGCAACTTTTCCCCTTTTTCCTCCTTGTCACCCCTTTCGCGCGATCCTTTGTTTTCCGGTCGAGACACGCGCGAAGATTAGGGAGAACGGCGCGCAGGGCGTGTGACTGCCCAATTCCTGCGGGTGTTTGTGTTTATTTTTGTACTTTTGAAGAGGAGGGATGGGTGACGAAAATCGACTTATCGGTGGCCAAAGTAAATATACGGGGTGGGATTGGGAGGCGGATTGGGAGTTCAATGAAAGTTTGGGGCCTAACTGTCTGCACCTTTCGTATACTGTAGTGTTCTGGAAAATTTTTGAAAATGCTGTAAGAAGATTTCAGCGTTTTTCAAGCGTCCAAAAAATATTTTCAAAAAACCCCGAAGATGACAGTTTTTAGGTGACATTTTCAAACTTGTCTTTTAATTTTCCTAGCTATTATTTCGATGTCTAATTCATTTTGATAATGTCTTGGGCTAGGTTTACTTTTATTTGACCTTAAAACCCCAAGAACGCTAGATAATTTTTATATGAGCTCTTGACCTATTTTGTCAAATCGATTTCAAAATATTGCTTCCATTCCATTTCTTACTACTTTGTTTGCCCCTTCGCGAAGCGGATCCCGCACACTTTTCCAGACGCTGGACCCCAGACAACAATCCGCTTTTGATACTGGAGACGATGAGCAAGCGAGGTGAGAGTAAGAGGGAGAGAGAGCGAAAGAGAAAGAGAGAGAGAGAGAGAGAGAGAGAGAGAGAGAGAGAGAGAGAGAGGGAGAGGAAGCGATACAGGCCGAAGATTATCCCCCGTTCCGTGACTTAACTTTCCAATCTCAACCGTAAATTCATCAAATCGTCGGGATTTTTGGTGCTCTGATTTCCACCTTGAAGCTTACCTCGGGAAATCCAAATCCCACAATTACCTTTAAAGAAATCTGAAAGAGTCAGGCTTCTCATCAAATATTCCTGTTGGTGCGCAAGCGGAAGGTATTTCCAAGGCGTAATTGATTAAGGCTCATAACCGTATTGTGTGTGCCTTTTGTATCTGATGTGCTATGTTGAGCTTCGCGCCGCGGACGCGAAAATATAATAAGGAAGCGTCCTTCTGTCCGTATTATTTATTTGCTTGCGCATTCCGTTAAAACCCGGAAGGTTATGCCAGTGCCGTTTCAACAACAGTTTTCAATTTTGACTTTCGACCCCCGGTTTTCCGGTCTCTCTCCCGCCAAGTTTTGACCCAATGACGGTATCTGCCGGCGCCACTGGGCCGATTCATAAATCAGTCGCCTGTGCGGGGGGTTACAGCGGAAATTGTTTTCATTCCCTCCCATGGAACTCGTTGGACATGTGGCTTCCTCTGCCACCCTCCAGCTTTTCCTGATTTTTCTTGCGGGGCTGCGAATTTCCGGGGGGATCGTCGAGGTAAATAATTGACGGGTGGGTCCGGCTCCTTCTGAATTTTTCTTGCAAATCAGAACACAATAATTTCAATTTTTGCTGAACTCACATATTTTCATTTTTTGTGTATTTTAGATAGGTTTTTCCGTCGAAGAGCTTGAATTTAGCGGCCCGATTTTTACAAATGTACATTAAATTATTTTTGTGTAGTTATAGTGGCGACATTTTCAATAATAAGGATAAGGTTACCTCTTAAGATACAAACCCCAAAAATTACCACAAAAATCGTCCCCAAAATCACTTCCGCTTCTCCAGAGCACCCAAACCCTTCGAGCAGCTACATGACGTGGGGGCCGCCTGTTCGTGTTCGGGTGAAATCCACGAGAAATCGGTTGACGAGCAGAGACCGGAGCATTCCGGAGGTTCCGGACAAGCGCACAAAGATTCCCGAAGTGCTGTAACCGACCCCCTGACACCCGGGGCCACATGGCCCAGGCCGGAGGCTATAGAAAAAGCCGTTCAACTCCTTCGTTCAACTCTCAATTTCCTGCCAACTTTTGTGGTTTTCCGGAAAGCTATTCCGGAAAACGTTTCCGTTTTTGTTATTGTCTTTGGCATGAATTAATATAGATTTTTGCCGTTATTTGATTAGACTAAATTTTGCCGCGAGATAATGGCTTTCCGGCAAGATTAGGTCTTGAAAACCGGTTCTGCTCGCGGGTGAAATCGCTTTTCATCACGCTTGGGCAATTTTTACGCCATTTTCATGTGATTTCTCTCTTACTTAAATTAATAATCAGCCAATAAGGTTTGATGCAATTTTTAAAGTCTGATTCTCGATTTTTGAAAATTTTTAAGAGAGTAAATTCTCCAGAATTCATTTTTATCGCCTTTAGCAAATAGAAACCCATCTGAATTTGATGCCGTAATGATGTGAAAATCAGCTTTGTCTTCTTCAATAATTCTTATTTAGTAGTATTGTAATCGTACGCTATGATACGCTACCATACGCTACAGTGCGCTACTGTGCAATGGAGTACGATAAGATACACTGCACAGCGCCAAAAAAAACGATGTTTGAATATTGTATTTATCAAAACCGCCAAAACCCGTTCTTAAAAAATATTTAGCCGATCCGTGCCGACATTCCATTCACAAAACATTTTTCTTGTTTACCACCTCGACCCCAGAAAAATTGAAGCGCGTAATTAAGCCGTTTATCTGGTCGCGCCTACCCCTGGCCGGTATCATGAGCCTGGCAACGTTTTAGTTGAAAAACTATTCATCACCCTTCCTGGCTCCTCACATGGGCGCAAATCAGCAAATCAGCCTAACCCCCCCGACTTTGCGATAAATTCATAATCCCAGGAAACCCAGTCAGCACCTAGCACACGCCCGCCCGAGCCTCGCACAATGTCAGAAATTCGGGGAGGGTTCATTGATAAGCCGAATGGATTCGAGAACTTCGCTTGGTTGGGCCGGACTTGTTTATGCAAATTTTAGCTAGATATCTCTCCTCTCTCGCTCTCCTCTCTTCTGTTGATGTTGATGATGAGGGGATCGATGTCGAAAAGGACATGGAAATATTTTTTGAGTCTAGTCGGGGCGGGCCGAAGTGAGTCGAAAGCGATAAATAACTGTCCTGGACCGCTTAAAAGACCTAACCTTTTAAGCTGAACCGGATAGTTTTCATAGATTATTATATTTGTATATATTTGCACATATTTTAATCAACCTCCAACATAAATAAAGCATTATTTCTGCCGATGTTCTCTATCGTTTTTGAACTTTTTGAAGTTTCGAGTTTTGAAAGTCTATGACGATTTTTGAATTTAACACTAAGAGTAATTTTTAGGCAAATAAATCAGGCAAGAAAAATATCAAGGTACACAAAAAAATCAATCATTCTTCTTCATTTTTGGAAATCCAGGAAATTCGGCCCTTTTATGCTACCTACGTCAAACTGCCGACAATTCGCTCTACATCTTCCCATCTAATCCCAAAATCAAAATAAACAAAAAGTGCCTCCCCGATCCTTATCTCTCCTAACTCCAGTCTTCGTCTAAAAATCCCAAAAAGACAGCACCCCGAAAAATTTTTTGAGCCTTGAGCGGTCGGCGCGCCAGGTTTTACCCTGGGCCCAGGCCAAAATTCAAAGAGGCGCACGATCAGATCTCGTTCCAAGATCGGGAATTTTGTATAAAAGGGGGAGGACGAGGAAAAGGAGGAGGAGGTCGGCTCGGAAGATGGATGAGGGCCTGGCAAAAAAAACGGTCAACCAGGGAGGGTGTGAACTATCGCGCGTCTCTTTTGCCTCCTCTCTTTTGTCGCTGGGTCTCGTCTTGAGACTCCCAAGAAAAGGTCTAGAGACGTCGGCGAAGAGACCGAGACTGTAGATCCGCGCCCAGATTTGAGATTGGAGATTTATGGGGGTGGAGGCAGGAGGGCCTGCGGCTTTTTGGGGGTTGCGGATTATGGTAGTTGGAGATTTATGGGTCTGGCGGTAGTTTACGGGCGAGATTTTTGACGTAAGATTGATTTTCTTTTCTTTTTTTTTGATTTTTAGTGATTTTTCAAAGTTAAAATTGATTTAAGAAATGAAATTTATTGATTTAGTCTTGTTTTATGCCATTATTAACATGGAACCCATCACTTCATTTTGGCCGTTTTCACGTCATCCCAATATTTTTCTTCGTCTTTATCATAACACACATTCCCACCTGCACACCTCCCAAAAATCAAGCAGCAATGAATTCGGCAGATAAGCTAGAAATTTTTGATTTTCTCAGTTGAATTAAGTGGAAAAAATATATAGAAATTAGGATTTCAAGAGGTTTAATAATTTTATTAAAGGTTTTTCAATTCTATGATTTCTGATAGGTATCTGATAGTTTTAATTATTCCTCGAGTCGGTTTTTCACGCGTCTATATCATTTAATTATATTTTTTCAGCAAAGGAAGACCTTTGTCACATTCGAGTGCCCGCGCCTCTGATGATGACCCTTCAGACTAGAGGTAAGCATGCATATTTATCGGCTTTTTTGTGGTCTCTGGCGCATTTCTGTGTGTGAGGGCCGTGCGCGCAAGTGATAACCCCCTGACTAATGCCTGGGGCAACATTTGTTATCGTGTCGATACGATCAAGCTAAGATGATAGTTTATACTGATTTATTGCGCTAGATAATTTTTCTCGCTAACGTTTTGGTTACATTATCTTGCAAATACTTTTAAAGTTAAGGAATCCATATTAGAGCGAATATGATAATATAATAATTCAAAAACAGGATTTAAGTTTCCGTGGAAAACCAAAAAATCGGATTTTCGTGGTAGTGCGTCTTTATGCCTTTTCCCGCGACCGCGGCACGCAACGCTGGCGTCGTATTTTGCTTGCGTAATCGCTCACGATTTCTTATGGCAAACGTGCGGCGCCTGCGATGCGACCGCGTCGGGTACGGTTACTGCGGTACTGGTTGCGATGGGTCTGACGTTTCGCGTCTCTTTGCTTCTCACGTTGCCTGTCACGTAGCGTTCCGCGTAGCGTGTCGCGTTGCGTATTGCGTTGTTTGTCGCGCTGCGTATTGCGTTGCTTATAGCATCGCGTGTCGCGTTGCGTGGCACGTAGCTTTTCGCGTTGCGTGCCACGTTGCGTGGCTCGTTGCGTCTATCACCGGGCTGCAGCAAAATTCGTTGAAAAGTCATAAGCATCAAGAACTTACCCCAGCCTTGCCAGTTCCTTAAAACGTATCACCTCCCCTACCACCACTGCAAAATGACCCCCATACTGCGTCTCAATGCATAAAATAAACCGAGATCCAGGGTGTCGTGTGTCTGGGAGTGCAAATGTGTAGGTGGGTGCGTGTTTGTGTGTGGATGTCGATCTGTCTGTTTGTCCGTCTATGAGCCTCCGCATCCCTTTGCAATGGCGGCTTCTCCCTGCCCTCTCAATTCCCGCCACTCTCTCCCCAATTTGGGCCCCTCCATTCTCCAGCCTGGCTGCGCGCCAAGGGGACCCCAGGCTTTTTTCGGGCCGCCACGCAAAAAACATGGCTTCTTGGCGGGTTTTTGGCTTTGGAAAGCTTCTAAAAATTAGAAACTTTAGAGGATCAGCTTCTGGACCTTTCTTTAGCTTTTATTGGCGGCTTATGGTTTTTTAAAAGCTTCATGGCTTCTATACAAAGTTTATATTTTGACTTTTACGTTTTTTATGTAAAACCTAATATTTTTGAACAAATACATCTTTAATGCAAATTGTGAATGTTAGTTTCAAAAACGGTTAACACATTCAAGGGCATTTTTTTGTTCTATATCGCGCCTTCCATACCGTGATGGCGTTTGAGCTTTAGTTTCACAGTTTTTAAGGTTGCCAAAAACATCAAAAGCTTATTGTTAAGACTATTTAAGGCTCCAAAGCGCTTTTAAGGTACGGTTCTGATTCTGTAGCTATTTTCGTCTATTGCCTTCACCCGTGCGTATTCCAATTTTTTTTTGAGTAGCTCTAGCGATAGTCATCACCCCCCCCCCATTTGCCAAAGACGAAATCTGTTTACGAGGCATCGATTTCGCTAAAATTCTCTAAGCCGACAAAACAGCCCAGCTGGCAGACCCGAGGACCGCCGGCCCAGGCACAACAAATTTTATGGGATTCCGCCGGGCGCGAGTGCCAATTTTGAATCGACTTTTGTGGGGTGGGAGGGCGCTAAAATTTTTGAATTGAATTTTCCTATGCTTGTTGTCAAAATCCTGGATTTTCCACAGCCTAAAAATACGATTGACAACATTCGGAATATCTTTATGCAATTGGCCCGTCCGTAATTAGTATTGGGATCGGATTTTTCGAATAAAACATTACGTAAAAGTATCCAAAAAAGGCATAAATTTGACCATATTCACTTTTTTCGATCGCTGTGTTTCTTCGAGTGATGCGAATTTTTGAAAGATTTTGAGAACCTTTTTTTGGGAGGGGGGTCACGCCAAATCTCAGATTTTGTCTTCATACTTGCATGGCTTTTACATTTTTCACAGGTTCACACATCATTTTCTGCCAATTTTCCATTCAGAAAAGCTAGCAGATTTTCATATCTTTTCAAGGCTTCTGCGTGACGCCCTCTGGATTATGACTTCCTAATTGCTTCCAAGAGTCCCGGAAACGCCCTAATCTCCTGAAGACGCGCCCTCATTTTTCATCGCGAATATCCTCCTGCTCACCTCCACCCCCCCCCCGATAACTCATTCATCCCCGGGGTAACGGCAACGGACGGAAATCTCATTTTTTTGCCGGGGGCTTCTGCCAGGGACTGGCACCTGGGCCAACACGGCAGTCATTTTCAGTGTGTCCGCTCTAATGGCTCCGACCTTTCCCAAAGCCAACAATCTAGCAATTAGACGGATGAAATCGATTTTTTTTTTCAGCGCCTGAACCGGGTGGTGCCGCGGTGGCTTGCCGAACAGTTCAGAAGCCTCTGCGTTGCTTGACGCCGGACGACGGGTACTGTAGCCCGGTTTATAAGTGAGTTCCGCTTGATTTTAGCTCTCTCTCTCTCTCTCTCTCTCTCTCTCTCTCTCTCTCTCTCTCTCTCTAGCTCTCAAAAATAACATCCGCATCAAAGCCCCGACCACCCATTTCAAATCGATTCCTCGATGCTCTTGTGTCCAGGAAATGACGTGGCTTTTCCCACCCACTCTCCACGCCCCGTCAGGATGTAAAAACGCAGAGGACACCCCGATGCGATTATTCTCTAGGGGAAGAGGGTCCAAGATCAATCGAGGACCAGGACCATTCATTTCTGATTCCATCGAAAATTATATTTGGCGGAAAGCAAAAATTCTCTCTCCCTCTCTCTCTCTCTCTCTCTCTCTCTCTCTCTCTCTCTTCTCTCTCTTTATCTCTCTCTTTCTCGCTCTCTAGCTCTCCCACCTCTGTTCTTCAATGATTAATTTTTGTTTTCTTGCTCAAAACCACCAGTCATTTCTCTCACCCAGGTGCAAAAATAGTTACAAAAATAGGTTGAACTCTGCCCCACCACCTGTCCCCACTCCCCCGAAGCAAAAAGTCCTTCCATAGACCTGGCGCTTCCTTGCAGGACCTCCGAAGAATTCGGCCATCTCCTCCTGGCCATGAACGGCAATGAGGCCATCGAAGGAGCTTCGGTTCCGCAGTCGCCGAATGCCAAGAAAGTCTACAAGCTTGTCCTGACTGGCGGGCCGTGTGGTGGGAAGACGACTGGACAAGTAATGGTTTACTCATTTGTGACTTTTCTGGCTTAAAGGATACAAGGATACCTTAAATTACCTCAAACTCCCATTTATACTATTTTATCCATCCGTTTCCAGCCATTTATCGAGTTTTTCAGGAACGTGTTGCCACCTTTTTCGAAAATATTGGCTGGAAGGTGTTCACAGTTCCGGAGACGGCCACCGTACTGCTTGGCGGTGGTGTTAAATTTGCAGTAAGTCACCATCTAGGAAAAACACGGCAATCGTGCGTTTAGGAATTGACCACCCAACAATCCTACGAGTTCCAGAAGGACTTGTTGAAGACGTTGGTCAGGATTGAGGATGTGAGTTATCGCTCTCTCTCTCTCTCTCTCGTTTTCACGCTCGTTTTTTCTCTTGCTCTCTCTCACTCGCCCTCGCTTTCTGGCTGGCTCTCTCTCTATCTTTCGCTTGCTTTCTCTCTCTCATCCTCTCTTTCTATCTCTCTCTCTCTCTCTCTCTCTCTCTCTCTCTCTCTTGCTTTATTAACCTAATTTTCATATTTACAGGTCTTCTTCAACCAAGCCGCTCTAATTGCCGACCGAAACGTACTGATCATCTGCGATCGCGGCGCAATGGACCCTTCTGCATATATTGGTAAGTATTCCCCAAGGTTCCCAATTACGGTGCCGTTCTCAGACCAAAAAAGGGCCCCCGATACCTTGGGTAACCCGAGAATATCCCTTCAGACCCGGTCGGCTGGAAGAAGATGCTCGACGAGTGCAGCTTTGACCAGTTCAGCCTGCGGGAGGACCGCTATAATCAGGTATAGGATAGAGAGAGATGAGAAAGAGAGAGGGAGAGAGTTAAGGAGAGATGAGCTCTAGCATGATTTTCAGGTAGTGCACATGGTAACTGCCGCCGATGGAGCTGAACAATTCTACACCTTGTCCAACAACAACACCAGAAAAGAGGGAGTTGTCCAGGCGAAGAATCAAGACGAACTGACCCGACAGGTTCGTTTTAAAGGGGTGGTGACAGGCGACTTCAAGTCTTGGCAGAAAGCCAATTTTTTGAAGGGACAATTCCATCAAGGTGTCTACTTTTTTGTATGTTTTTAGAAGTTAAAAACCAAAGTTTCTGTTGTTTTTTTGGTGAAAGTTTATTTTATGTCTTCTAGGTCTGGATCGGTCACCCCTACGTCGACATCGTCGACAACACCAACTGCAAAAGCTTTGACGACAAAATTCTGAAACTCATCGAAGCGGTATGCTACCGTATTGGAATCTCGGTTGGAGATCGTCTACACAAGAACTCAAAGTACGCCTTTATCAAATTTCTGTGCAAACCGTGTCGTTTAGGAAACGAAAATGGCTGGTCAGGGCGTTCGACCTCTCCCACTTCCCAAAATTCGAGGAGTTCAAAGTTACGCATGATTATTTGTTGAGCGACAACAATTCGATTCAGGTAATTTTAGAATTTCAGGGGTTTCTCGCTGGTGTCACAAACCCATAAAATCTCATAACATATTTTTAGGTTCGGATCCGGACAAGGACCCAGAACAACCGAACAACATATACCATCACCTCGCGGCATATTAGGAATGATGAGACGGTGGAGACGAGGATGAAAATTAATGAGCGAGAGTATCAGAGGTTGTTTTGGATAGACATATCTTAAACATGGTGGATTTTAGGTATCTAACGATGAAAGATCGAGGTCGTGCCACCATTCACAAGCAGAGGAGATGTTTTTCATACGGGAATCAGTACTTTAATCTTGGTACGTAAAACTCGGGGATCCGATTTGCTGGAGCAGGGTCGAAAGATGAGACAATTTATCATGTTTTTATTCTTAGCTAATGTCTACTTTTCTAGACGTCTACGTCGAGCCCCTGCCTCCAGCCTCCCACGGACAAATCATGATCCTGGAGACGTACACGACAAATGTCGGCGAGACGACCCTCCCCCATTTATGGATGTTGTTAAGGAGATTACAGGTGAGATACCGGCCGATAATTGCAGAAAAACCGCCGTGGAATAACTTCACAGTTCATATTCTAATAAAAACTCATGAAAATCTCCTAGCCGGCACGCTGCCTTAGAATTAAACAAAACGTATTTTGCGCCTAAAAGCTTGGATATGGTTTTTGTTTTTGACACTCGAAATTTTTGAAAAGTCCCACTGCAAAATCTGAAATTATGCATACAATCCATTCCTTAAAAATCGATAGTCATGTCTTACCCATCCCTTTAACAACCGGCGCACCACGCTCGCAAGCTTGCCATTTCGTTGCTTGACGCTTCTTCCATCACAAATTCTGAATCTGTGCTTTTGGTTGTCGGAACGTCACAACAACCTGTCAATCTGCCATCCCTGGTGAGGCCTTGACCCCTGGTGAGGCCTTGACCCCGGTGCGTTATAAACCCCAGCCCTCTCCCTAATCTCGGCGCCCGGTTAGCTCAGTCGGTAGAGCACCAGACTCTTAATCTGGTTGTCGCGGGTTCGAGCCCCGCATTGGGCTTAGTTTTTGCTTTTTGGGACAGAAGCTGGAAAGCGGTTAAGAAACGCCTTTTACAGCTTCTTTTTTATTTTTGTGTATTACGGCTTGCCAAAAGATGCAACACTTTCATACCAAAAAATCCATGCGATGACTGGCTCCGCGTACAAAAGCGTTTACAGCCGTTTCAGGTGCTCTGGCTGCGCGCACGTTGCGTGTCGTGGCAAAAACCCCAGCAAAATATTGCCTTTGTCTATTGCAATTTCCCTTTCAGGCGATCCGCAATACAGCATGTACGAGATCTCAAAGCGCCCTGGGAGTGCAGCCGACACCTTCCAGGGAGAGTTCGAATCCCAGATCTTTAGTGACGACTAGATTTCTATAGTTTATTTAATGTCTTAAAAAGGATCCCCTGTCCCCCATACTTCCGTGCTCAACCACAGCGACAAGGAAAAACAAATACCTATATATCATGTTTATACGATTATTACGAAGTATCTCCTCCTCCGATTTACCGGTTGTGTTCTTATTTGTTTCGCCTGTTTGTGGAACTGATGATTTTGCTCGGCAAGTGAAATTGTATGTGTGTTTAATAAATTTTTACCTGAGCCTGGAAATACTAGAATTACATCAAAAACACCACATCAAAAAATAAGGGTTACCAAAAATCACAACAAAAATATTAGATAGAACAAGAAACGCAAAATTCAGAGCCACACACAACAAAACACAAAATTTTTATCCCGCCTTGCTTTTTCTGATTTTCTCACGAGCCAAGCTGTTTTTGGCCAAGCGGAGTGCTCAGCAAAGAAGATGTTTTGAGCTTCTGGTCCAAATCTAACCCACGAACTGAGGGAAAACATAGTTTTTGATAGGATTTTTGAACGGGCTTTCCCTCCAAAAATAAAGGAATGAACGTAGTTTCTAAAAATAACCTACAATTTTGCCCAGGCTAATTGCTTTCCAAGCGGAACTCGTGTGGCTTTCAGGCCCTGGGAGGAGTCCCGGACACTAAAATTGGAACGCTGCAGCCAAGATTTCGAAAGGAGCGTCTAAACGTTATATTTTTTTAGCATTGAAGACAACATCATTGGCGAAAGATTATTGTTAGGATAGCTGTAAATATACTCTTTCGATTTAATGTGTTATAATGTTTGCGCGAATTCGGAATCTGTACTTTTCGTGGCCCCGATCGTCAACCATCTGTCGATCTGCCATCCTTGACGCCGCTGAAAGCCACTGTGCGTTCATAACAGCCAGCCCTCTCTCCCCTCTCGAGACCCGGTTAGCTCAGTCGGTAGAGCACCAGACTCTTAATCTGGTTGTCGCGGGTTCGAGCCCCGCATTGGGCTTACTTTTTGCTTTTTGGGATTCAAGCCGGAAAATAGTTTAGGAACCCGTTATCAAGTCGTTTTGTGATTTTTTAAAGCTATTTTCGCTCAATTCAATTGTTTTTAAGCTACGATCCAAATGGCTTGCCTTTGCCAAAATTCCAGCGAAGGCCTCACGAAAACAACCCAGGTGGGCCTGACGATTCCTTTTTTTGCGAAAAATCGAGGCCCAAGCGAGGGTGGAGGAGAAAATAGGGGGAGGAAAAGCTTCTGAATCGAAGCCCGTCCACTTCCCCCTTCCGAATGGGCCCTATTAAATTATGGGCGGAACAAGGGGGCCCTTCTCGACCCCTAGGGGCCCAGATGCGTTGAGCAATGCCGTCGTTCTCGGGGAGAATTTTAATCGTTAAAGGGAGGGGGGCTTTAAAGGGGCATGGATATGGCTTTTTTTAATAGTTTTTATCAATCTGAATGAGCTAAAATTGCTACTTGGAGCTACAGTATGCAATATGCTGCTGCCTGTGACTGGCGCTATCCTTTGAAAAACGGAAATTTTCGCAAGATTAATGCCTCGTTAGGCACTTTTAAATTTTGCATTCTGTTCGCGGGTTCCCTTTTCGTCAGCTTTTCCGATGTGTTTTTTTCATTCTATCACCGGCCTGTCCTGAACCTCAAAAGAGCAGCAGCTGCTCCTGCTCCACAATGCCCTCCAAGTTTGCCCCCTCCAACCCGTTGAATTATGCATTCGATTTGGCCCAGCCAGTGGCCGTTGATTTTGTCCCAATGGCTAGGAGGTCTTTGAAATGTTAGAGTTTGAATCTTACTGGGAAACCAAGAATCAATTTCACGCTCAGTGTGTCGTCTGAAAACATCATTTTTGAGCTTCCTGAATTTTTAATGACGCGCGTAAGCGGATGTGGCATTGGTGGCTGACGGGGAACGCCATTAAAATCAACAAGAGCGTATGTGACAGGTCTGTTTGCTAAAAATTGACCTTGAACCAAGCCCAAAATGAGTGCTCTCACATCATTCTGACGGCTGATCATTTGGAGCCGAACTCCGTTGCGCTACTTCTACTAATTAACGAAAACGCCTATTTACCATCCATTTCCGCCGCCGAACTCTGACATCTTGGCACGTTGAGCTTTTCCGTTTGCTTGAGGTCAATTTGCCCGGTGGCCACAGAAGTGTTGGTCGGGATGTGTCGAGGGGCCCAGCGGGGCCCAGGCAAGGGCCCAAAAATGAAATTTGCATCACCAAAAATGGCGTTCTCTGGTGGAATCCTCGACGGCCGGAGCGGTCTGGGCCACTGATTTGTAGCTCGACGAGTTTTTTTAGTTTTTAGTTGCGCAACGAAATTATATTTTTTTTACTCTATACCAGACCTTCCCTTATATGGTTTTGTTTTTACCGTGGCTGTAACACATTATATTTCATTGCCCAGAATTTTCCTGTTGTCTGCAGCCCTATCGATGGCACTATGGCCTAAAATTCTAAATGACAATCTTCTGCTTTTTTCAATTCCAGAAATGTTTCGTTTATTTATAAAGCACCTCCTCAATTCAGCCACTTCTCTAAACTCTTTCTTCGTTTGGGAACGCTTTAAGCCCACGCCTCGCTTCTCTCCGGATCGTTTTTGCTCCTCAACCCCCGTCACGCCAGCTTCACGGCCCCTTTTTTGGCTGGCCTTCCGAAAATCGTGGGCCCGATTCCTTAGCGGGCAGCCCAAAGCCATAACTCTTCTCATTTTGGCAGCAGCCGAGCAACGGGTATCGGGGGCCAAAGATTTTGGATTGAATTTTTATATTATTTTTGTGGGGTTTCTTGATTAAATCTTTTTGCACTTTGATGATTATTTTTTAAAAGCATCGGGATGGAATTACTACTTTACAGTACTTCCGAACCTTCAGAAAACTTCGAAAGTTGCCAAATTGCTGAAAATTAGCTTTCGAATCCTATTGAAATTAGACTAACAATAGCCCCTGAAAAAACACCATCTCGTTCTATACGAGTCAACTGTCCTATTTTTACTGCATTTTTCTATGCATCACCACAAAGCCACAAATGAACGTTTTCAGCGGGTTCATCATGTTGGAAGATGGATTCGGCAGAAAGGCTTACGACAGCTATTCTGAGGCCCCATCCGGTTGCCACCCACCGCGACCGTCAGAAGCCTTTTTGGGAGAGCAGGTAATTTTAAGAGTTTTCTAAACGTGTTCTATTTTTGGCTCTTATTTTCCCAATTATTTGAGAAAAAATCCGATTTCCAAAAATCTGGAAAAATCTATTTTCGTTATGTTTTCTCCAAAACGTGAGGAACGCTTCCTGGTATTGCCGGGAAATTGTCCCCATTCCTCACTCACTTTTGACACCCTTTCAGCTCCAAGATCAGCTTTTGCAGCGTTTGAAAGGTGTTCTTTTGACAGCAGAGTTCCGTGTTCCTTGGAATTTACCCCAGAATCCAGAAACTGGACAGTTTCCGCAAATTCCTTGACCTCTACTGAAATCATGACGATACATTACGATCACTCTTCAAAATCCCCCGTAGCGATTTTCGGTTTTTTTTCTGCAGGTGACTAGACCTGCTTCCGGCCCCCACCAAATTCACTCCATCAGCCGCCGGTCCCGGGCGACAACTCCTTGTGCTTCTTTTTACCCTCGGAAAGGAGTTCATTTCCTGAAATGCATTTCCCCCTCGTCGTGAATGTCCCTTGGGGGGTTCGTCGGTTCGGAGGCCACCTGCTACATTCGCCAGCGTTTTTTCAGGGCTGCTGTCTTTTTTGGTTCTTAAGATCTTTCCTAAAACGCTACTCTATTTGAATGCTTTAACATATTATGTTTCTTTTGTTAAATAAAGCGGATTTCAATAAATTGGATAAAAAGGTTTTGAGGTCGAAAATGCGCTTCGACGCAAGCAAAGTGCATTTTTGAAAATTCGCTCCTGTTTTGTCTATTTTTCTGTAGCTCTCTCTCTCTCTCTCTCTCTCTCTCTCTCTCTCTATCTCGGCTCTCTCGCTTTCCTTCTCCCTCTCTACCTCTCGCTCTCCTTCTCTGTCTTTCTTCACTTTCTCTCTCTCTCTCTCTCTCCCTCTCTCTCTTTCTCTCTCTCTCCCGCTCCCTATTCTTCACACACGCTCTTCCAATCGTCTATACTAGCACTCAAGGCGAAATCACGCATCCGTAAATTCCGTTTTAATCTAATTTCGCTACGCTAACTTTTAACCGAACACCCAAGACGTCTCAGAAACCCCCGTCTAAGTCCAAAAATTAACTTTCTAAAGAAAAGCCTAAATCCCAGGCCCAGGGCCCCCATGAAGTGGCACTTCACGGTTTCGCGCTTTGCGAGCTCTCCCTTCCCGAACACGAAACTCCCCAAAAAATTGCCGACCAGCGAATGTTTTAAATAGAATATTCACCCGGGCCGCTCGCTGCGTGGGTCCTAGAAAGAGCCCAAAAGCCTCCATTCTATCCCCCATCGAATGTTATTGCCGATTTTGGAGGTGTTCCCACCTGCTCGGGTAGGCAAGTCTTTGTTTGAAGCTGTTAAAATCCAGTTTTTGAGAGTTTTTGATTTATTGCTTTTCGGTATTTAGTACAGGCTGTTTTTAGCTTACCTTCCACCATCGACGACACTCCCGAAGGTCATCACTCCGCGCCTCATTTCTCCTAGCCGGCCAGTCGTTGCGGAAAATCCTTCTAATTGGTGGGGTTTGAAGTTTCTGGACCGTTACCAAGCACTTACAGTGGTTTTGAAAGTATGCTTCTGTTATAATGGGGGTATTTAAGGCAGCTCGCTTCGATCGATTGCAATGAAAAAATCTAGTTAAATTTCGGGCGGCTTGCGTCGAAACCTCCAATTTGGAGCCTAGAAATCCGCGGCGCTTCCAGGCTTTGAAATTGGAAACTTGCCGGCGAACTTTGAGGGTTGAAGCTGAATCTTTTTCTAGCTTTTTTATATAAAAGTGATGCCTAGTCAATTCAAAATTTTGAAAGAACGGTTTAAATAACAAGTGCCATTACTCCCATGTAAAATTTATAAAAAATGTATTTTTATTTTTTTAGTTTTATAAAATGTATTTTTATTGGCTTATGTAAAGCATTATTTTATGTGATTACATTATTTAACACAATGTTTCATTTATGATGCAATAATTTGCGTGATTTATTAGCTGTTCTGTAGATTTTAGGTTTTGACCTAGATTTGTGGTCTCCGGAAATCGGAATTTCTGAGGCAAACATCGAAAACGGGCGGTTAAAATTTTTTCGGAAACCAAAAAAATCCTTCAAAACTGTTTGCTCCAAACTAATCCGCATCGCTGGTCAAAGAACAGGAAATTTTAGTGTGGCCAAGTAATGCCACGTAGTCCTAACCTTCCATCTCATTAGACAGAAAAGGCATTTCCGACCTTTTGGCCTTTCCAAAACTCTTCCTGACTGGACTGGACTCCTGGACCTGGACTCTGGGCGTGTGTATAAAAAGACAATACTTACACATCAAAAATTCGCCCTTTGACGTGTTTTTCCGGGGGTTGAATCCTTAAAACCGGCGGGACATCCAATCTGGGTAAGAAGTTCATCGAGCAGATGCCCCCTTCGTTTGTTCACACAAAAACCCGCAAAAAGTTCTCGCGCTCATAACCCACTCCAGATGGCTCTCGTGACGGGCGCTCGCGAATTGATTTCGAGCTTTGAGTGAAAAGCCGCCACCCGTGTTTGCAATAGCCCTAATTTCACCCGACTCGAGTAGCAACTTGGTTTATTAGTCTCCGGGATTTTCTACGTATTCTGAAGCCCATTCGCAACTTCTGAAGACGTTGGGTCGCTTTTCTGCTTACTTATTTGCACTAAAAATTTCAAGCCGACCCTTGAGCCTCAAGTCGTTTTTTATGTTAGCAGAAAAGCCGCCTTATTGAGCCGCAACTTTCTGCTCTCGGCTTCATATTTCCGCGGGTGAATTTGAGCTGAGCTTCAGTTTATTTTTTTCGGCGTGCTCGCTTCTGGTCAAGATTTGAAGCCAACTTACTTAGCTTGATTTTTCTGAGCGCCGAAGTCACGACGTTTTCAAGCCGATTTTCTAAGCTGCTACTTCATTTTCGGATCCTATTCGATACCCGAAAATGCTTGCCCCCGAATGCCCGGACTCCCCGATTCGAATCCTGCGCATGGCCAAAGAGCAGTGGCCAGAATTGATGGAAAATCAAGTGCTCACCATCGATTCGGTCAGCTTCATCGGGCCTGTGTCGAATCGGAACTACAAACACACCAAATTTGAGGGCCGCTGGAGCTTGAGAATTTGTGAGTATACCGGTAGCACATGAAAAAAAACATTAGAGCTGTGGCTAATCATAAGCTTTAACTCAACTACTTCTTACCAAAGGTATAATATAAACCAAAAGATCCCATTATTACAGGTTTAATAATAGCAAAAATGTAAAATGTTCCTGAAGGTATTATGAAAACCACGAAGTAAAATTCGGCCTCCCTCACATGCTTTCAAAACGAAAAAACCTCTTGATTAGGGCCATCCAAACTTTCTTAATTAATAGATAGGCTATTAAGAACGTAAATAATCACCTTTTGAGCCTCAAAAATGTAGCAAGTTTAATCCATGCCGTACGATCTTTTAGCATCGTTTTTCAGCGCCGCTGTCTCGCCACAAATGCTGCCTGGGCTGTGTGAGTCTGCGCGATGCGGTCCCCCTGATTTGCGTGATAGAGATTATTATGATGGGTGAGTAATTTAATGCTTTTTCTGCTGTTTAAGAATTTCGGTTTAACTTTTCTAAGCTGTCTTATAGCCTGGTGCGCCATGTTCGCCATTGATTTTGCGGTCAACGACGGGGTGCTGTTTTTTACGCGTGAGTTGGAGGGGCGAGGACAACGGATATCTGCTTGTAAGTTTCGAAAAAAGGTACAGAGCTACTGCTAATTACTATTAACAATATGAAAAAGACTACTATGCAAAAACATTTTTTTAGAAAGTTTTCGCGACTTAAGGCTATGAAACACTAGCGTTTAAGGATTCAAAAGTACTACACTGTCGATCGGCCATCTTCAAAAAAAAGATCCTATGGGATGTATTAAGTTAAAGTTCAACTTAAGCCAAAGAGACCCATCTTCAATTTATGCCATGCCTATATTAGTACTACCATTACAAAAACATCTTTATAGCGCTTTTTGAGGCGATTTGGCTACTAAAATCGATATTTTAAAGAGTTCAGAGTACACTATGTCTTCTTCACTACCTAAATGAGGATTCTATTAAGTAACATTTCTATTGCAAATTAAATCCACATTTTTAGGCTAATAAAACGTTGCATCATTTTTAGGCCTTTCGGTCTTCGTTGTCTGCTCCCTTGTCGTGTTATCGCCGTCACCCTCTTTGCGTGGTATTACAGAAGAAAAAGCTTTTATGTGCTCCATGTTCTTTGGCAGGTAACAAATAGCTGAATTCCTGCGAAATAAAATCGATTTAGTTAGTCTTCGTCTCCTACGTGTTCTTCCTCGTCTACCTACTATTGATGCCGGATATTTGTGTACAAGAATGATGCATCGAAGGTAGGAAAAATCCTAGTAAATTCAAAGTTTTTTGACGTTTGCAGAAAAATCATGATCCCATCGGCGATCACGATAGCCGTGTTTAGCTTATTTATTGGAATTTGTGAAATGTGGTGGTAAGTCTTTCGCAGAAAAATTTTGTAGTTTCCAATAGTAAAAAAATAGTATAAAAAACGATCAAAAACGTCTTTTTTGATTTTTGTTCCAAGCGGTCGTCTTTCCTTGAAAAGTTGAATTTTGTTTTTGAATCACAATTGCTCTACTCCATGATTTTTATTTCCGTTTACTTTCAGGTTATTCATTATGGTGGACGCGTTGCTGTATGACGATCAAAAAAGCTCGCGACGAACCAGCGACAGAGAATATCCCAACCGGCCGCATAACCAGTCAAGACACAGCAATTCACTGCCCATTTTATTAATTAATGACAGGGGATAAAATTGATATGAGGAAGAAAAAGCGACTGAATCACACCACCCCGAATTTTTGTTTCGCTTCGGAGAAAATGAGGCGGCTTTTTTGAAATTTGAAATTGAAATTTTTTGAATCACAATGAAAGAAATAGTCGCACGACAAACTAAAGGGACCGGCAAGGTAGGATCATGGATTTTGCTGGCCAAAGTCTCATCATGGGTTTCCCCCTGCCGCACTTACTTGGCACAATAGTAGATTACCACCGACTCCGGACGGCTAGGCGGGTCGCGCGTGCCGTATCGCGCCTTAGCGCGGGCCTATCGCGAGTCCGGCGGATTGCTTTGCGTAGCGCACGATGTGTGGCGTTGGGCATCAAGCTGCGCATGGCCTCATCCATCAGGCCGCCTATAGTCTAGCGTTTTGCGCCGCGTATAACCTGGCCCACCGATGTGCGTATAACCTAAGCTATCGCGCTGCGTAGCGTTGCGCTGAGCCGTGTGTCTCGCGCTGCATGTTGCGTTGTGTGCGGCATTCAATGACACTGCCCGGCGTCGCGCGCGCAACGCGTATCGCGTAGTGTGACAGACTGTGTACAGCGCTGCGTGTTGAGTTGTGTGTCGCGGCCCGGGAACCAATGTGAAAAACTCATCCACGGCCGTTTGATGGGTATTTGTCACTTCCCGAAAACGATTTGCCCGAAAACCAGTTCCCCGAAAAGCCAGTTCTCCGAAAAACCAGTTCCCCGAAAGCTACTTCCCCGAAAAACTAATTTAGTATGCTAATTTTTGACCCCTAGCCATACGCGATTTTTTTGTTCATACTAACAACCGTGTATTTCGGAAATCTCATAATTTTTCGGTGAAGTTGGATGTAGTTCTCAGTCTTTTTTTTTGTTGTACAAAAACTTTCTGGGCAAGTCTGGAGGCAAAAATTTTTAGTGCTTTTAAAGGAAAAAGAAAATGTAACGAGCTCTCCCCTGCTGCTCTCGGGCCCTCGGATGGGTGGGGGGATCGACACATTCCGCCGACCGTCCTTAATTTGAAACCGAAATCGGGTCTGTGGATCCAAAGATACTAAAAAATCAGCATGCTAAATTAGTTTATGGGGAAGTAGTTTTCGGGGAACTGCTTTCGGGAAATGTCCGGAATTCCTCCTTGATCATGCAAACCCGCAAAGGTCGGAAAGTGGCGTCACCATATTAATTTGTCGGATTCTGGTTCATTTTCGAACATGTTATGTCCCTTTTGTCATAAAGAGCAATATTCTGACTAAGCGTT